CAGTGCATATTTCCGTGGTTTTTAGGGGCTCTTGGGCAAAACTGACCCAGGGATAAACCGCGCTGCACAGCCGGGAAATTGCTCGACGTCTTCCAACTCAAGATTGTCTCCTTCTTTTTGTTTGGATTCCTTCTATTTTCGGCTACATCTTTCAGACCGGTTTCATAATGAAGGCGATCCGGGTGTGGCTCACTAGGGACAGAGAAGCGACTTTCTCGCGTTTCGCAGCACGTATTCTTCGCTGTAGGGACCTCAGGTCCACCGTGATCATGAGTGAACCTGGAGTTCCCGCAGCGAAAAATGCTTCGCGCGCGAAACGCGAAAAAATCGCTTTCTGTCCTAGCAAACCATAACCTAGGCGATCCTATCGCACAGGAGTAAATTCGTATCGACCGCGCGATCGTTTCGGACGACCGATACCTATCTATCAGATGTTGTGCAATCGTTCCGCTTAGGAAGGCCTAGAGGAGGCCGTATCAAGACCCCGATTATAGAGGGAGGGTCGTAGCGCTGCCGTCAATTCCTCGAAACGATTGGCAATCCGTCGTAGAACAATGAAAAAGACGGATTATCAGTTAATCGAAGATGAAGGCCTAGCACTGGTAATCGCTTTTTCAAAAATTTCGATGAACATAAACTTCAAAATCAGCGTAACCACATTTCTAATGGAAACGAATAGCAGACGAAAATTATGGAAGAAACTGACTTGCACATTAAGGATTTTTAAAGGATGAGTACGTCCATTTCTTTTCTACTCCTTCTATAGGTGTTATCAGATGGATTAGTTCCGAATACACCCACAAAATCACATTTTCAATATGATTACATTTCTCCCCATAGCCATAAGAACCGCAAGTTCATCTGTGTATCTACTTAGTAGTTGTGCACGGAAGGTCTTTCACGGAAGCCAAGCTTTTTCATGCGGTCTTCTGAATGATCTGAGGGCAGCGGAAACCAGAACCATAGGCATTTCCTAAAACTCTCTGAACACCAAAAAGAGAATCCTTGGTTTGATTCCTCGTGTGACAAACTTTTGCATTTCGAGTTGACGTGATAACTGGCAGTCCTAACTATGAATATGACGTTCACAGTTCATGCTAACTCATTTTGCGCGAACTTTGAACGATTAGGTCGAATGCATTTGTTCACCCGAGGAATCGAACTAGGGACCCCCTTTTCTGGTATTCAGAGGGCCGTTCAGGAAAAATCAACCATGGTTATGTGGTTCCTGCTGTGCCCCTATACCATGCAAAAGACCGTTTTGAAAAACTTGGCACCCCTGAAAGACCTTGCACTCCCAGATCGAATTTGTGGGGTTACAGAGGTTGATAATGATTTGTGGATGCCAAATCGACTAAAATGAAAAAGAAACAAGGAAAATGAAAATTCCCTCCGAAAAATGAAGGAGCAGGGCCGGATGAGTTGTACGAACTTGCCTGCTCCACGACTCAACCGTGTCATGGGGTGTGCGCGACTTAACTCGCCCATATGCTAACCTTAGCGCCATTGTCGTGCACTTTTAAGCCGCGACAATGGCACGCCTGTGCTACTCGCGAGCTACTATATCCCACCCACTGAATAGATTTTCGACAGGGACCCTACAGGGGGTGTTGCTCGATATCCATCAAGTATAAAAGATCCTCGCGACAAACGGGCGCACTTCAGTCTCAAATATGGCTCAAAAACATTGATAGTTCACTGACTTGAACACATAACAACCACAAACTAACTTCTTTTGGGTGTGGTTTACCTAGACAGAAAGCGACCTTTTCGCGTTTCGCAGCGCGAAACATTTTCGCTGTGGGAACCTCGGGTCCGCTGATGATCAGCGGTGGACCTGATTCCTGCAGCGAAAAATGTTTCGCGCTGCGAAACGCGAAAAAGTCGCTTTCTGTCCTAGTGAACCACACCCACTTTTTTCTATAAGGAGTACTGTACCAAAAATGCGTAAACTGGAGTAGAAGGAAGGTGAAATTTAATGACACTACAGATTTTGCGTTGGGTGCAACAAAATACGGTGCTAACTTAGTTGGGGGGGGCCACGCGGCGGCGCGGCAGTCTGCTCACCTGGGCTCTCTCGAGCGAGACAGTGTAAACTCGAACATTCCAGCTTTTCACGCATGTCAAGTGACTGCCCTCACCCCCCCCACCCCCTAGACTGCCTACACTCCCCCTGGCTCACGGATTTCCCGAAGTACGCAAAGATGCACTTACAGTACGCTTTTCGAATTATCGAAATGTTCATAGTTCAGATGATAATAGCTAAAACAAAAATATGCGAGAAATAACATACCGGCAAACTTCGTAAATTCGATTGTGAGCGTGTTGTTCGGGAACACCATTTCAGGCAGCTCCGGCAAGCGCAGTGAGCTTTCAAAACGGCACCTCTGGAACAATCTTCAAACGTAAGTTCCACACAGGAATCTTTTCAGGTGTATAATTCGGACAACTTACGGAACACTGCATGTCTCCTGCTCCCTCGTGCGCACATTGGGATTCCAAAATATGGTCCCACACGGCAACAAAATGATAACCTCCTCTACTGAATTCGTCCTGCATAAAGACTGCGATTTTCAGATAAAGATGCAAAGGGTAGTTAATCACTCACTTGTTTGCGGGCGCTTTTTCTGGCATGTGCTAAAATTTCCGAAGCACTGCGACCCTGTTCCCTCATAAGTCTGAAGTTTGTACTAGGGTGTAATAAACACTATATCACAATAGCCCACGATGTGGTCCAAAAAAAACGAAAAATTCAAAAATTCAAAGCCTTCATTGAACGAAATCAGAATCGAAAGAGCCGCGTACAAACAGAGTAAAAACCTGTCACGCCATTTCTCATAGCATTCCAGGCAGTTTAGAGGTGTCAACTTTTACAGAACAACGACACAGAAGAAGTACAGTTTTCGCACAAAAGGAACCTTTCTCATCTCACTAATCGCACGTTGTATGCATGTAATTCTTAACCAGTTCATCCAAAGTTATCCTCAATGTTGCTTTCAGCCACTCAGATTCGCATGGCAGGCTAGACAATCCCTTGGTCTCAATCATGAACCGGTCAGTAAGTGGATAAAATCTGGTGAGAAAGCCAATCCTCGGCGTAGGGAAGCTTGCGTCGACATTAGTTTTGCACGAGTTTGCCCCTTGGGCTGGAGCTCTCGCCTGCTAAAGCACCATGGTTGTTCTCAAAATGGGAGTTGGTCCAAGGCTTCACCATGTCCTCACCACAATCATTTTCTCTGAACACTCTCGATAATCCTGGCCCTAATGCGACTGTTTCGGCAACTGAATGTCGGCTTCACTATGAATATTAGAACAATCGAGATGCGTATCACCAATAAAGCGCGATAGCAACCCTCTAGTCCCTCGCTAAACGCTGGCTGTTTCGAAAAGAAATGACGTTTTTGCACATGACAGAAACGGCGAAGCTGCTTTTTCTGACAATTCATCCCATCGTCGATTTCGATACATTCAGCTCCTTTGCCATACTTCTGATGGAGCGTCATAGATTCGAGCGTGAACTCGAGAACGAACCATATTAACCACGTCCGATTGTCTATAACAGATCCTGAGTCCATGTATCGTTTTATGGCCATCTGTACCGTAATGAGGGGAACCGCAAATCCAGCGACGTCTTTCGATGCAGCCCCTAAATGGCGAATGCGAAAGATACAGGTCACATTGAATGAGCTCGCGCCATCTCAAAGATACTGAGCTTCACCGCAGTGACGGTGCAGTTCACAGGAAAACATACTACACAACTACTGGTAGAGCGATAAATGAAAATAAACGATAGAACTTGTCCGATAGGATTTGGCTCTGAGATTTTCTTCACACATTTGGGTGTGGCGCGGCGAGCGCAGCCGAGTTGGCATTGCTTTCGCTGCCCGGATAAATTTGAAAACACTATCACAGACCGATGTCAGACTTTGCGAATCCAGCGATTCGCTAGCGAATCGCTGGATCCGAGCGTTGCACCAGCGAATCGAAGCTGTGCACCAGCGAATCGAACTTTGCGCCAGCGATCGAACGATGTACCAGCGGTCCGAAGGATGCGCCAGCGATTTGACGCGGGCACCTTGAGAAGTACGTTTTCAAATTTACCTGCGCTGCGAAAGCAGTACCGACTCGGCCACGCTCGCCGCGTCCACACTCCAATGCGCTAACAAGAATGTCTCGGAGCCGACGAATTTCTAAATTTTTGCGCGAATTTGGGACAGACTGTATAAGTCAGTGTTTCATCTTGCAGGATAAGTTTCATGCCAATCAACCAACCCGTGCTGAGAAGTTTGGGATGCTTAGTAAAGCAATACACGTTCCTACTTTTTACCGGCGAAAATACCACAATATTCCAACCCTCAGAAGTCGGTCGGTTGATAACAAGCCCGATCTGGAAGGAAAACGCACGTGAGATCACAGGATCAGTGCGACGGTGCAGGGTGCACACTTTTAAGCGATAACTGATCAAGAGACACCCTGTTTACCCTCCTGCGCTCTGAGTCAGGTGCTAAACGGGTCCCAGTGTGCACGTGTCCACGTGTCTGCAAACAATACAGTGCGTGTTTTCTATTCAGTGCTATTACACTATTGCAAGCCCAAACGCCCGCAACACTAGAATCCTCAGAAAGATCACATTCTTTCCGCTCACTCCATCTACAGGGGTGCCCTCATCACGGAGGTGACATCTTCTTTTTAAGTTAACGCCAGTGCGCTGGCGATAAACTGTATCGAATTATCAAATTTTGCCTCTTTGGGAACGAGTGCCATATCTGAGACCGGGACCCACATGACCCCACATGGAAGGTTGTACCAAATTTGTGCGGCGCCAAAATGGCGCTTAATCGCACCAAATGACGCCAACGCTAAAGTGTTCAATTTGTGATCAGGACACAGAATAACGCCCATTTTTAAAGTTTCTGAGAGAGAAGAAAACTTGAGCTTTCCTAGGGTCGTAAAGACAATAGCGCTATCAGATTCCATGGGCAGTAACATGGCTATAGATCAGTATGGAGAAATACAAATCATAGAAAATGATCGATGCCGAGAGCTTTACCCTTTGCCATTTGTCGAAGAGAGGACACTTTTATCAACTACTGCATGCCATCCAGAGCACCTTCGATTGCAGTGGTACGTTTGTGTTTGAAAACACCAAAACACCAACGTTTGTTCTGACCATCCGGAAAAAAATTTATCACTCTGCAGAAATTCTTGTAAGACTATCGGTATTTCAATTGAAAGCCAATTAAAACAATAACATTCATCTCTCAAACTATAAAACTTAGGAACATGATTATTTTTAGGAGTAAATGACTATTCAAAACAATAAAACACGAAGAAAAAGCAGGATCAAAAACAAAAAACGAAGCAGCTATCACAAATGAAAAACCCCAGCTGATTTTCTGTTCAGGTCACCTGGGATAAATAACGGCACGATAGCGGGAAAACAGTGATATGAAAATTTAGCAAAATTATAAATCTGTTGCCAAGTGAACTGTGACATACACTGAGCACATAAACTATCACTTATATTCAATATTTTCTTGTATACCGGTGATCGATATTAGGATAACGAGATGGGTCGTAATCATTGTCCTCTTCGATACGGCGCTGTATCGCCATATCCATTAATTCACTGAAGGCATTAGTAACAGAGGGTGATCTCAGGTTTGCTTCAACAGTTGCCTAAAGAAAAAAATCGATCGGTAGCGATAAGTCTGCATAAACCTATTAATCAAATGAGAAGGCAACAGCCACTACTTACTGGAACATTGCCATGAAAAACATTATCAACTGTCTCTCGCAAAGCGGACGATAGGGCATCTTCACCAGAAACATGGTCTGACACGACTTGCTAAAACATTATTCTGATTTCTATAATTTTTTGTGTGTGCTCAATAAATGTGTTGAAAACCTGACCCTTCTTGCTTGTTCAGGATGCGCTGATTGATAGATATCGCTAGGATTTCGTGCCCGGCGTGGCTCCGTTTGACCAGACAGAATGTCGTTTTCGATTAACTCGACCCACTCCTGAACAGTGCCATATTTGCTTGGAAAACATCGCCGTCTACAATTAAACAATGTACAGGAAAAGATCGTCGCCAATTGCCATCATAATTTCCGAGCTCTGCCCGAGTTCCCATCTCTCTGCCAACGAATGATTGAGAACTGTGGGACATGGAAGTGCAACCGCGTGAGGTTGAAGGTCCTGTCTGAAATTTCCATAGTCAGAAAAATGACAATGTGGAAACCGTGATGGTAAATCATTTGAAGCAAATAATTCGCACAGCTGCGACTGCAGAAATGAAACGCTTCACTAACGTGAAGAAAAAGCTATTTATTATTCAAACAAACACAAAACTAAAGAAATGCACGTTGCTGTCACAAAACGATCAATACATGGGAACATTCAATTGGGAAAAGGAACATGATACAGCTAGAGAGCAGGATTCAACTGGAAATAAGAGGAGTGATTAGGTGCCTTCAGACTAGCACACGAAGGCTAGCATCAAACAGAATCAGACATGCTTATTTAAGTTCACCCCGTGACGAACGTGCTAAAATGGTTTCTACAGGTAGGAAACCTGAGCAACAATTGGCAGATACAATCGGTCCTTCTCCAGCTATGACTAGCAAACGAGCGTTAGAAACATAAAATAAGTGATTCAAGTTGTAGACATAGTGGCAGAAAAACGATAGATCAATCTCATAAGATTTCCGGAAAAGCACTCTAAAATGAGGTAACTTATGAGCCATTGAAACGTGGCTCATGCCCCGTGCAAAAGGCAAAAATCTTCACTATAACTGAAACCATAGAAATTTTGAAACTAGAACATTTACGATGTGACCTAAGAAGGTGTCAGAAAGCCTCTTTTTCACCACCACGTCTCATGCGTCCTTATCATCAGAAAGTACCTTTCCATCATCCAACTTCCTCTTCTTGGCAGGAGCTGGTCCAGTTGAGGGAGCACCACGACTTCGCGTCTAGTTAGGGAAAACAATGGTGAAATGGTTATGATAAACTATTAGAAAACTTATATAATTAGTACGTCATAAACCAGAATCAAAGCTGTCTCCAAATGCGATTAATTGAAAACAACATTCGCAAAACGACACATTGCGTAACGCGTGCGCCTTCATGTGCCGCATGATGCCGCAAACCTCCCTGGGTGTGGTTCACTAGGACAGAAAGCGACTTTTTCGCGTTTCGCAGCGCGAAACATTTTTCGCTGCGGGAACCTCAGGTCCACCGCTGATCATGAGTGGACCTGAGAGTTCCCGCAGCGAAAAATGTTTCGCGCTGCAAAACGCGAAAAAGTCGCTTTCTGTCCTAGTGGACCACACCCAACCTCCATATTTCAGATGACCGGATATTCGTGCGACACCATGTGGCACACGAATTTTGGAATGTTTTTGACGGTATCGTTTCTGTTAGGGTTGTGATTCAGTTTTGTGCACATAAAAGTTTTTTTGCATACTTAGACAGCACAATTGAGTGGAACATCGCCAAATAAACAGATACTATTTATTTATGACACTATCAATAAAAACCGTTTGCTAACTAAATTTCGTTAAATAGAACATTTTCTTAGTTCGAAGTAAGGGCAGTTCGCGCAGTCCCACCGCAATATTTTCTCAGTCGAAAATGTGATGATCAAAATTTCCAACTGAAAAAGGGTGCTGCGCACCTATACAGTGCGTTTCAAAAGTATGTGCACACCCTCAAAATTCACGTTTGAAAGGGAACCATGAGGTTTCGTGCTATGAAATCCTTCTCAATCGATTTCTCGTAGTCGATAACCTATCAATGGAAGCAAAGCAGATAATATCGCCTCACTTTCGAAAAAAATTTTGGATGAAATTTTTTTCTTTGTTTCAAAAGTATGTGCACACTTAACAAAAGACAAAAACATAGCTGAGATTAGAAATCAGTGGGGCCTCCAGAGTTTCTAATTAGCTCAAACATCCTGTCCGGCATAATCTGAACCACGTTTGGCATAGCTGTTTCGTCGCTGTCGGCCCAAATAGCCTCTACCGCCGCCTTCAGTTCATCCGCGGTATTATACTGCCGGTTGCTAAAGTTAACGCCTTGATCAAGGGCTCCCTATAGGGTTGCAGTAAAGGAGGACACACAAGCCAATCTATTGCTTCAGCACCATTTGGTTAAGGCCATTCTTTGGTAGATTGCGAAGCATCGAAAGACACGTGGTCCTGTTGCCAAAAATGCAATTTTCGCTCCGCTTCGCTAAGAAAGGTCAACAGGCGACATTGGAGCACTGCTTGGTATTCTTTACTGTTCATACGCAATAATGGCAACTTCTGAATTTCCTCTGATTGCGAAACCGCCGCAGACCCATCAACGGGCCTCTTCCGAAATTCCTTCTCGAGAGCACGAGCGACTCACGGCCAAGCCTCTCCAGTAGTAGCAAAATCCACCCGGCCCGTCAAGATCGAACTCTTTCCATGAGTTAAGATTACCTGAGGAGAGAAAGTCCATAAAAAGTTGCTTGTTTTGAAAATAGGAAATTCTCGAAAAACCGTGTCTTCGCCCGGTGTCCTATCCTATGTTGCCATGTCTGTACGAGCAGACTCCAATGTGGCTAACTTGTGCTGGGCCTTGAAGTGAGTAGCCTTTCTCAGCGTCTGTCGAGTGGTGTATTCATTTGAGCGGATGAGGGCTTAGTGGTCATTTTCGAGGCTGGAATAAAAATCTGAGCTCGGACTGTCAATGAAGAATCCGACAGGATGTGGGCTACTCTTTTGTTGTTCTGAGCAGTCAAGGATCGTGGATGGAGCGGAGTGTGTGCTGAGTATAATTATCAGGGTGCCAGATAAATCTTCGAATGCATTAAGGAGAACGACCAAGTTATCGTGCGATTTCTAGATTGGAACGTTCATTATCATGCAGAACCTTGATCTGAGCTTGCTCATCTTCAGGAAGAAGTATGGCGCGAATTGACATGATGACGAAATGAAAACAGCAAAGTCGGATTGAAATCGGTGGAAAATTCGGCGCCAAAATCTGATCTTCTTCAAGTGTGCACATACTTTTGAAACAAAGAAAAAAATTTCATCCAAAATTTTTCCGAAAGTGAGGCGATATTATCTGCTTTGCTTCCATTGATAGGTTATCGACTACGAGAAATCGATTGAGAAGGATTTCATAGCACGAAACCTCATGGTTCCCTTTCAAACGTGAATTTTGAGGGTGTGCACATACTTTTTGAAACGCACTGTATAATGATTTTATGAGGATTAAAGGACCGAAGGTTCGGGGAGAGTTCGGGCTCAGACCCACCTAAGAAGCCCTTACCATGGCTAGAAGTGCTGGGCACGCAAGTGCAAAGTTAGCGCCACCTTTCTACATCGAAAACCCGTCACCAGGACCCTAGGCGCCATGAACTTCTAACAGACTCCACCAAACATAACATGGTCCGCCCACCGATCGATGTCTTGTCTGCGTCGCTGCGTTGATCTGCTATGCTCTCTCTTCTCGGAATTCTCTACCACCCTCTGCGCTCACATTATCTCTCATCTCCCTCCCTGTCTTTTGAACTTCTCCACAGCATTGAGCAAAATGCTCGTATTTCCTGTGCATGTCAGATTTTGTGTGTCTCTGTCTTTCTTTTTTCTCCATTGGCGGTCCACCTCTCACCCCTACTTTCACATTTGAGCGGAACCAACAAATAAATGTTGCTGACTAATACCTAGAAAACTTTTGATAAGCAATTGAAGAAAAAATATACTTATCATAAGTTTGTTACCAAAGCTGGTGACGAGAACAACAAAGTAATAACGTACTCTTTTGAAAAAAAAAAAGGAAATGGAAATTTTTGTCCCATGTAGCCCTGATGGGCTCGCGGTGCTGGTCGCGCCACACTGCTCGTCAAACATTGACGGTGGTGCGAGTTACGCAAAGTATCAGCAAGGAGCGCAATTACGATTTTTCTTAGATTGTTTCAAACGCATTTGTATGAAATAATGCTAATGAATTTGATAACCGTCATAACCTCGGCAATACTATTACTACTACTCCAACAAAAAACGTGGTCTGAAATCGTCAAAAAGTCAGGATTCTGGAAACTACAGGCAAAGGTGAACAAACAGTTTTACTGCTAATGAACACTTAGAATCGTACCGATCTATAGAAAAAGATTTTCGGATTCATAAAGAACAGTTCACAAATTTTCAAATATTTCTGCAATTTGTACAAAAGACAATCTTACTTGGTTGCTAGGCGACAGGTAATACTTGTAGCTTTCTAAACCTAGAAAGCAAATATTCTAATAGTTTTGATGTGTATCATACTTCTTTTGTTAGCATCAACTGGATCCAACGCGACTTCTTGATGACTTAAGCGATATAATAGCACACAATGCAAATATGGAAAGGGAACTCCTAGAATAATTATGAGATGTGACCCTTCGCCTAATTCAGGTTTGCAAAAAGATCGCACATTGCGTGCGCCAACAATTAATTACAAATGCTGAACAATATATACTTGAAAGATAAGGAGCTAAACTCCTGTTAACGATTGGTCAGGTATTGACACCTTGACGACAGCGCGCTCTTTGCAATTTTTTTTTTGCAGCGGGCAGGTGCGATTGCAAGATTACCGCCTCACCTCACATCCCTGTGTTTTCAATAGAAAATACGCAAAACATGGAATGACCCAAGACCAATTTAGCCATGTTCAATGGGCAGAAGTTACTCAAAGTTATGATAGCGAAATTTCGACCAAAAGGATGTATTAGGTACCGGATATCTTAGTGTCGCTTTTTTGAGTTCAACGAAGTTTTTGGGGCCGATTACCGTGGAAAATCAATATCTCAGAAAGTCCTTTTTGCTCATTAATACTGCGAAATATGTTGCTTATTGTTTTCTATTGTTGGTTCACAATTTAACTTTCCCCCAATTTTATACTTTTTTTTTGAAAATTCCTGGGTCAGTGTGTGCAAATTCGCATGTGTGTACCAAATGCTTCAAAATTCTTGCTGAGAGAGACAACTTCCCAGTCCAGTGTGCAAATTCGCATGTGTGTACCAAATGCTTCAAAATTCTTGCTGAGAGCTACAACTTCCGCCCACCAAACCAACATTGCATTTGTTGGAGAGGAAATACTACCATTTAAAATGCTCATCGGTTTTTCACAGTTTTCTCAAAAGACAGTGAAGTCTTT